AAACTTATGTATTTTTTAATAAATTATTAAATAATTAAATGTTATATAACTTTTCTTTTACACCCCCTTCCTGGTATCGAAATATATTTTAACTATAATAGGGCGTGTCTACATCGCGCGTTAAAATTTGCATATAACATTAGCGCGTAACAAAGATTGTGATAAAGGAAAGAGTGGTATAACCAAAAATCAGTGATTACTTGAAATCGATACCAGGAAGGATAGACTAATGAACTGCAACACTACAATAATAATGAGCGACGAATGCTCTGCTACATTCCCAATTTGTTTGCTTAATGATAAATCCTTTTACTAATATGATTTGTACAAACTCCTGATCTAATCATGTTAAAATACTTTAGTTTAGTGTCAGAACCACTTTTTTTTAAATTCAATCTTAAAAAGAATTATCATATACAACAATACAATAGTAAGGCCAAATACAGTAATGCGGACGACTGTAAACTTTTAATTTACTTGGAATGAACACGCCGCAAAATTATTCTCATCACCACTCATCTCATCTTGTACATTTTCATTTGCTGAGCAGATTTAACACATCAAATCCTTAGGGGCTCGATTTTTACAGAACTCATGTCGTTCAATTGGAAGGTTGCAATTCTCAATCACCCACTGCTTAAAGGGCGGTAGTCGTGTGCGAAGTTTGTCTTGATTAATATTGATTTTCCACAATTTAATGCACTCTTCTAATGAAAATCACGAGTATGCTACACCGAGTATGTACCTGGGTGCAACGTGCAATAATTACGCCGGTTACTCATTCGATACCTTCCAATCACCAAATAAATTATCTAGTTAAAGTTTGGTAACGTCTCAGTTTGTACTCGTTTGTCTTAGCAACAGCCAAACTCGCCATCTTTGTTTATATGAGTTCCAAATCCCGCGCATGCGTGGCGCGACGACCAACGCCCTTTAATAGTCAGCACACATTTGTCAGGAACTAAGGGAACTAGGGATTGTGAACTAAATTGAACTTCGCGCGAAAACAAAGCAATATCCACGCAATTATGACGCCGGTTGTAAATCAAGCAGTAGACCATTTCGTGTGTTTAAACCAACGTAGCTTCGGTGACATTTATCCGTGGAACCAGTCAAGAAGAGACATCCTACGACATACGCCACCGGACAGAGTATTAATATGTGAGTTTTCTTGTGACGCACACCATAGGAAGAAGTTAAAGGGCTGAGAACTTCACCCGCCTCTTGTTTGATATAGGACTCATAGCGACGTACGCAACGCGTGTAAAATACATTGTTTAATACATGAAATTTGAACACGCGCAGCATGACGACCACCGCCCTTCCATGCTTATCAATAACCAAAAACCTCCACGAACTTGAACGTTACTAGTATATTGGTATGTTAATCGTGTAAGCTTTAAATAGGACTTTGATCCGAAATTTCCAATGGGTCACAGGTCACATTCCTGTGGTGTGTTGTAAACAGACATATTGTTAGTCGGCATCGCAAAGAATAACAATGTTTCTCGTCAAACTGAATCGTTTTTTCTACTTCTTCCTTCGTCTTTTTGCTTGCTAAAATATTATCGGTAAACAATTACTCGACAGTTCCCATCACTTTATCAACAGAGGGCGCTGGTCAGTGATATCATTTTATTCAGACCTCAGGGTAGTACTATCTCACAGTTTTTTTTTTTTAAATTGCATTTTATTTAATAATATCAATCATTCGTAGGCATAAAGCTGAACTGTAATTAACAAATATTACAGATCAAAAGGACGATCATTTCACAAAAGAAAAATTAACATATATAATCTCAAAAATATATATACTTGTAGAATACTTTATTTTTGCTGTTTTGTATGGAATTTATTTTCACTGATTTTTGATGAGTTGAATGTAAAACATAGGAAAAAATGTATATTCACTGGATTTTATTTTCACTGAATCATCCCTTCGGCGAAAATAGCGAAACAAATTCCATGCGAAAATAAAGTATTCTACAGTAATGATGTAAATTGGTGGATCAGTCACATTTGTTTAAAATATTGATTAAACACGGTATTTACGTTACATTACGTTACGCTTGCAACACCGTGTAGTTTGTACGATTAATGTTTTTGAGGGGTAACCAATCATGGTTTCCATGTACACGCGGCATTGCAACCTTTTTACATCTACTTTGATGTAAAGTATTAAGATTTGTTAAAGCTAAAGTTTTGTAATCATATATGTTATAATGCATAAATATATATACAATATAATATAATATAAATACACAATTATACTTAAATGAGACCCCAATCAGTTCATGTATGGTGTGCTGCAGTACCGTAATTTTGCACATGTAATATACGTCGACATATCAAACACATCTACTTTTACTGTATTACTGGAATATTTGAATTTGGCATAAAGCAAGTATTATTCATCTGTACAGTAGCGCTTTCTAACACTTGAGCGTGGTTAAATGGGACGCCTCAAAGAATCAGACCCTCCCGATGGTGGATGGGGATGGGTTATTGTATTCAGCGCATTTACAATCCAGATGATTGTGAATGGGTCACAACTTACCACTGGTTTACTCTATGTGTCTCTGAAGAACTATTTTAACGAATCGGCTACTACTACTGCATGGGTACTTTCACTTTCAACGGCTTTAATGCAGATGTCAGGTAGGATACACGTTTAACTGAATTCCCTAATTGTTTTGTATTCTAGAACTAATAGTATAAAAAATGATTCACACATGGAAGGTAGGTCCTACTATTATTGGTATATTATTTCAACATTATTTGCACCTTTTCATCGTATCATTCCTTGATATACTATTAATTGTATGTAATTTGCATTGCTTTAGTAATAATGTCTATAAGTCTTTCCAACAATATCTACGATGATACTTGTAATTATTTCCTTGAATACGCATTGTTTTGAGTTTACATGTGTATTTGGAAATTCTTAGCTTGTTGCAATATTAGAAGTTAACTCGAAAAAAACTCGTATCTAAACACGATGTTGTTCGTGATGGTTTCAGCGTATATTAGGACTTTGATATGACGTCAGATTACATATAGGAGTAGATATATTGTTATTATCAATTGTCATATTTTCTAGAATAATCCACTCAACATGACAAATCATACAACCCTAAATAAATATTATTGCAACAATAAATACTTGGCCAAAATCGCAAAAATCTGATAACTAAATCATTTTAATAAGATAATATCAGTTTTGTTTTTGAATAAGATTATCTCAAGTCTGTAAGTATGTTCAGGTTGTATTATGAAGTAGAGAAAACTAATATTGAATTTTATAAATATATTATATTCAAATATAATATTATATGCAATTATATGCAAATGATATTCTAAATAAGTGAAAATTTAAATTATTGACCTAAATCTGTTGTGATCGTGTCACAAATTCTGCCACTATAATACTGTTAATGTTGTGATTTCTTTCCTTTTCTAACACAGGTCCTCTTGGAACCTATATTGCTAACAAATTTGGAATACGACCTACCGTTATTATTGGAGGCGCAGTTTCAACTGCAGGTTTTTTGCTGAGTTCATTTGCACCAAACGTTTACTATCTGTATTTTACCCATGGCATAGTTGCGAGTAAGTGCGCCCTCTATGTATGTTACTATACATACTACAGGTTAATAATAAAACTGGGATTTTAAAAATGTTAAATTAATTCCAAACTAGTCTCGAGCTCTATAGTAATTTCCAAACAAAGACTTCTGTGGTTCATATATCATCTATATCTTCTGTCTAGTTTGTGGAGCTTTCACTATTGTCAAATTGACGCCTAGAGAGAGAATTTGGTCAAAAATAATCATCCAATAGCCATATACAATTTAGTGTTAAATTTAACAGTTTTCATCTCTTTCAGGCATTGGGCATGGACTTTGTTTTGGACAAAGCCTGGCAATTCTTCCTTATTATTTTGAGAAGCGTTTCCCGATAGCAAGCTCACTCACCAGTTCTGGAACATGTGTTGGGCTTATTGTATATTCATTACTCTACCAGGTTTTCCTTGAGATATATGGATGGAAAGGAACTTACCTTCTGGTATCAGCTCTGAACGCTCACCTCATACTATGTGGCGTGCTGTTCAGACCAATACGTAAAAGTCGCCGGAAATCAAGACATAGCATTCGAGCGTCTGATGACACAACATATACTATGAGAAACTCACTTTGTCGCAGACAATATGAATCAATCGGCTGTAACCTCTTTTGTGAAAATAAGCTCTTTACTCTGCATGCAGTTGCAAATTTTCTTGGAAACATTGCTTATATAATATCCACACTACTCTTTGTCGCTTGCGCTATTGATAA